CGAAGGTGAAGTGGAGGGTCGCGAAGGTGAAGTGGGGGCCGGGGGGTGGCTCGATGATCAGTTGAGGGGCGCTAATTCGCAAAGTAAGGTGATTTTGGGTAATTTTTACCTAATTGACCGTGATTTAAAACCAGTGTCAGTATAATCTTATGTAAGCAAGCGGTTAACATAAGCAAGAATTTAGTCCAATGAAACTGTTTATCATTGAAAATTTACCCTACCGACGTCACCACGGCGTCCCCACCGATCGATCTAACGTGACGTTGTTATGTGGGTGTTTTATAGATTATTGAGAATGGTAATATCACCGAAAAATAGATAAAATGACAGTTGAATGACCAACAAAGCAGTGTCGGCTCTAGGATATAAGGAGGGGGGGGGGGCTAAGTTGTCCGACCGGGGGACTTGAGCTCGTAGGAGCGAGCTGGGAGAAGGGGTTGAGAGGGGGTTCCCCCTCCCAAATGAGATTTTTTTTAAAGAATATCAACCTCTAGATGGCCGAAAATCCTGAATGGCACTCTCAGACTGTGACAGATATGTGTTGGCTTCGTGTGGGCCTATTTTTATATGTTTTATGGTCTGACTGCCCGACGAGCTCTGTCCGGCGGGGGGGGGGACCTGTCCGGTGCCCCCCACCTCCACCCCGCTGGCGCCGCCATTGCTTCAGCACATGGGGTATCTATACCAACTCAGCCCCACCATGGTTGGGGCTGAGGTAAGAAACTTTCAATTATTATGGCACCTAGATGGCTGGAAATTACACTCTGAGACTTAAAAAATTTGAATATAATTTTCCTTATATCTCCATAAAAAAATTGAACAATTTAGCCTCCCCCTGCCTCTTGAACGCGCCACAGATTTCCGAACAAAGTCGAAGTTGAGATTGCTTCCACGACCTCGATGGATTATTTATCATGAGGGTTATCCTTGATATAGGTTCAACGAAGAAAACTTTTTCCCCGATGGATAAAAATTACCCTTCTATGTAGCCCGGAAATGATACTCCAACTGTGGCGGATCAAGGAAGTCAAAATTGGGTGGTTCCAGGCAGGGTCTTGTGCAAATAGAATGTCCGCCTGCCTCAGCCCCACAACTGTTGTGGGGGCTAGAAAAAAAAAATTATGATTATGGCACCTCTAGATGGCCGGAAATGGCACTCTCAGATTAAAAGTTATATACAATTTGTCTGTTTTTTTTTTTATAATTAAAAATAAAATAGGAGGATGGCGTCCCGTGCTGACTGGGTTCCCCCTTGAATCTGCCAATGTTCAATATAACACTTGACATAGCCTATCATTTTGTTTCACAAATGATTAATTCCTAATGTCAAGCGAGATATTTTTATTCGAAAGATTATTTTCTTTACTCAATACAGTTTTTACAACCTATAACACATTAACTACACTGTACTGTAAATTCTGTAGTTAACCTTCAGAGAACTTTATTTTAAAAAATGGCCTAATTAAGTATCTTATTGTTTTCGTTAAATTAGATGGAGTTTAAATGTGGTTGTATTACGCTAGTTTGAAGGTACTGTAAGCCAATCAGTTACACTTACTATACATCTTTGTGGTTAGCATAGAGAACTAGAACGTTGGATGCCCTGGCCCCCCTCCCCCCACTTCCGCTGCCGTTGTTTTCAGTCTTAGTGCTAGGTGGTCATTTTTGACTTTCTTTTTAGATGTACTGTATCAAAGTGTGTTTTAAGCTCTCGGTCTACAATTAGACTACCCACTCCATAAAGACAACATTAAAATAATAATTCATTAATTAAAATAGCCTAATTTTTTCGCTTTAGCGTAATTTTGGAAATATAATAAAATTATATAATCTTTTCAATAAGGTTGTAAGAATCAACGCACATGTATATTCTCCCTGTGACTGATTTTTGTTAAACCATACATACATTTTTGATTAACCATACGTTATCACAGTACATTGTGCAGCTGATTAATTACAATTCCTTTTTGATAATTAGACAATGCAAAAAGTTTTGCATTTATTTTGTCTATATTTTTGTCTTTGGTTTAAGTAGGTGGCATTCCTGACAGAAAGAGCTTGAATTCGTAAGACCACCAGGCATTGCAATCAATATAAATTTCCGGTCTACATAGAAGGGTAATTTTTTAAAATATATTTTGTCAGTTTGACCTTTGCGCTGGCGTCTAGGTACTTCGAAATTGCACTCTCATACCTTACAACAATACAATTATTTTTCTTAATACAATTTAGGGGAGTGCACCCCCTCCACCCCAGATATACTGTAGTACAAGAAGAAAACGTACTGTTAAGAAACAAGAACCTACATCACTTGCACTTGTGGGGTCAAAATGACCTTGGCCTGCATTTTAGAAGCATGGAGGCAAGGCAGGAACCCAGTGTTTGAGAAATTTGCCAAAAGGGGGGGGGGGCCAAGTCGGACAGGTGGGTATGAACTCCGGCTCTGTAGATCTTTGATCTGGCTTCTGGAATAACATCCCTGATAAGAATTGACGCATAGTATTTGTATAGATTGTATGCATCTTACAATAATGATGTTAATAATCTGCATTTGCTATTTCTTTGCCTTTTGAGTCATTATATCCCTAGATAAATTACTTGAAAAAATTGGGTTCACAGGGACGACTTTATGTTTTAAGATGATGATCATGACGATGATAATGATTTGTATCACAATTTTTGGATCTGCATATGATTATTGCTGTGTAATGTAATTTAAAAATGAAACCATTATTTAATCCCATGTTACCTATAATCAACCAATCAAATAGCACAATACATAGGTGTTGTGGTAATAGGTTGCAAAAACATGGCAGTGATTATAATTTTGAATGAAGTGGTATTCTATGATAGAAACAAACACCTCAATATATTGTTAAGAATCTGGGAATGTTTATTTAAACAAATTTAAACATGTGTGGTAGTCTAGTAAACAGTATACAGATTCGAAACCTTTCTGATGACTGGCCTTAATAGTAATAAAAATAATCATTACTAAGAATGAAAATTTGTTTTGAAGTATCAAGAAATTGCATATTATGCAAATTATAGCTATGATGACCTATCATGATAAAAATGCACTATGCCTGAGTGCAGTAATGCGCACATAACCAGGATTGCTGGATACCAGATGTTCTCAAATGTGCTGCTCTGAATTTCTGCTACACATTTTAGTTTCTAAAATTGGTAGGTTTTCAGAAAATGTTACACAACAGTACATACTGTTTAGAATTTGAATACAATTAAACGTGATTCAGTTTAAAAGAATTAGGCATAACATACAATACATATTAAATACTAAACACTAGTGCACTAAACTAAGATTTCTTACAACTGCAAAAGATAAATGACTAGATCTAGCCTAAAAAATATACATATCTTTGACTAAACTGCTTTACAACTCAAAGGAGATAATATCTACATACACTTTGTACATTTCTTATATTTTTACAATATATATAACATTTTATAAATGGTAATTTCCTATTGAAATAATATATGATTTGATAGTATATTATAGTATCAGCATGTCTGAAACATGAACACTGCCCTCAACATTTGTAATAAAGTTAAAATAGGAGTTTGGTAAAGTTGAATAATCAAATACTCAACATTGTAGTAAAAGCATTTACATAAATGATGTCGAAATAATTCCAAGTTCAAGCTAAAATAAAATAGTTGTTTGGTAAAAGTTGTCATAAATTTGAGTGTTAAAAAAAAATAGGTTTGCCATCTACAAAAAAATATAACTACTCGATAAAAACCCTGTCTTCCTTCTGTAACAGCCAACTGGCACACTTTCTCTATAATACTTTTTTTTAAAAAACAAATCGCATATTAACACATTTTTATACAAATCAATTTTATATAAACATAAAATACAAATTTAAATATAAATAAAATATGAAATGTAAACCATCAATTTCTCAAACAATTCCAAACTGTGATCCATCTTGAGGCAACAATTTCAGTTGGTCCAATATTCTCTATTCTTCTTCAACAAGTTTACCTTTTTAAAACTACTTTTGTAAATGTGTTTCACAGAACACATTGTTTACAGTTTGGTTTCATTGTTCACCGTTCTTTCTCTTTCTGGCAGCAAACACATTTCGAGGCAGTTAAAATCTTTATTTCTCCTGTATTTTGAGTCATAGCTCTTTTTTTCTTCATTTAATTTTATTCAGGAATAATTCCAAAATCTATCTTCGGTCACATATTCACTGACTCTTTCAATCACAATCCATCTCAAGTTCATAAGATTATTGAAAACACCCTGATTTTTTAAATATATAAATATAAATATAGTAGCAGCAAGGAACATCAATGGGGCCCAAGCATGACTTGCAAGCAGGAACCTCAGTCTGTCCACTCCAATCACAAATTGCAATCAGAGGCATCAGTGCCTCAAACATGAATTGCAGTGAGGAACCTAAGTCTGTCCAAACACAAATTGCAATTGGAGGCATCAGTGCCCCATACATGAATTACAACATTTTGCTCCATAAAACTTGTGGCTGCACATATTATGGGTTGGTACTAGGTAACACCAATTGTATTCATCCTTGCATCTTGAGTAAGCTGTGAAATAAACACATGAGTTATATAAAATATGGTTTTATCGCATTCCTTCCAGCATATATATAAGAAAAAGATAGAGGGAGGCAGAGAAGAGAAAAAAGTACAACTTCCAAAACATTAAATGTCAAGTATAAAAATAGCTATATAAAATATAAACACAAGATTATTAATATATAAATATTAGTATAGGTTTAATTTTGTCCAACCTGACTTGAAAAATGTACTGAATATACAGTACGTTTGAAAACACTTGTGAACAAATTCTCAAGTTGTTCTTGAGTAGGACTCGAACCCACAATCTCCAGATAAATATTCAAATATACATAATTATCATAAATAAATCTACTGCAACATTGGCCTAACTAATATTAGGTAAAAAATCTAAAATCATTATGGCAATTATTGTGCAAAGGAAATTGTTAAAACCTACTGTACTGTAGTTTTAACCGTAACAAATTTACCACAAAATTAATAAAAAAAAAACTATTTACTATTATTATTATTTCAATATAATATATATGGTTCAAACAAACTGAATTGTCTCATTGAAAGATAACTTATTTCACACTTTTCAATAAACAATTCATTGTATTTTTTTTCTTTATTTAAAAAAAAAATATATAATATAAATAAATGCAGTACAGTATATTGATTAAAATATTATTACTTTAAATCATAACAAGGTAAATTTGTTATAAGAGCACCCTCTAACTGATCATGTAAATAATACTTTTAAAATTTCCCATCAGATATGTTAAGATCAATTGCTCTTGCTGACAAAATTCCATGGTTTTTACATAATGTGTGATCTTTGTATATTTGAAGAAGTTTAGCAGAGAGTGAGGCAACTGCTATACATGTGAGTACTTATTGCTTTATATTGAATAAAACTTTTGTATTGCAATGAATAAAATCACTCACCCTGTCTAGGGCAGGAATTTGTATTACAACGTTGTGATATTGCTGGTTTTAAACGCATATTACAAATATTGGATGTTGATCTCTTCTTAACTTCTAAACACCTTACTTCCCTAATTTGAACACCACCACCGCATGTCCTAGTGCACTGTGGAGAAAATATACAGAGGCTATTAACAAATAAATACATCTCCTCTGATTGTCTTGGGCATAAATGAGGCATGCTGTGGCGAAATGGTTAAGTTGTCGCACAGGCCAGTATTGAGCTATAAAATATGGGAGCTCAAAAAATTGCCTAAAAATCCAAATTTGTTTTTCACTATAGATCAACAGTTTAATGTCTTATTAATCATGTACCAAAGTATTAGTTCTAAAAGTGGTCAACAAATTGTTTATTTAATATTATTTTGATAGTTCATTCTATTAAACAATGTATGCACAAATAACTTTAAAAGGCAATTACTCAAAATCGTGTTTATCTTGATTCTAAGAGTACTGTACTTTCACTTTCCAATAACTTAGGCTTGAAATGTCCAATTTCAATGAATGACCCCTCATTTTAAAGATCACATACTCAGGTATCTGCAAATACCAATAACTTGAATTTCAATTTTTGCTACAACTTAGCCATTTTGCCACAGCATGCCTCAAATACCAAGACAACCTCTAGATGGCATGTTTTCATGTGTCTAAGAAACATCAACCCCAGACATTGAACATAACAGAGGTGAGTTGAGAGGTTTTTTGAAAGGTATTTCAGCTTCCTACATTCAACGTCTAAATCACTCGGCTGTTCCATCGATTGTAGATGCACTAAATGTTAATGTTTTAAAGTATTTGGTGTTTCACTGTTTCTGGAGCTTTTAATTGTGTAAAATAAAAATGATATAATTTTTTTAAATAATTTTTTGTATTGTAATATATGTTGTATAATATTTTTGTATTGAATATTTACTGATTTTGTAATATATAACACTTTCAGCTGTATAGCTGCACGTATACATTAGTATAACAATGTATTCAATACATATTCAAACAAAGTTTATAATTTATTGTTTCCTTAGCTTTTAATGCAGGGAAAGATTTAACTTGACTAACCTTTGACCAGGATGAGGAGTACCATAGTACTTGTACATTTCGGAGTGCATAACATACATCTTTCTGACAATGTTTTGTTAAACTTATAGCAGGTTTTGTTAGATGTCTACATTCAGAATCAGCTGCAGCTCTATACTGCCCTCTATTGTCCAAATAACTACAACTAACAACTCTAGTCAATTTACCAGGTCCACACGTTGCTGAACACTAGTTGATGAAAAAAAAATTACAAAATATTATATCAAAAGGAAAGAGCAAAAACTAGTTATGGAGTGATACACGGAGTAATCCCATATACTTACGAATTTGAATCTTTCATAAGCAAGAAAGGAGGGAGAAATTCAGCATGCAATATTGAGAAGGGGTAGAAATATAGAACAGTCTGTATATCTGATGCAAGGACTAACTCAATGAAGTGAACTTGGTGTAGCCTATATCTTTCGCATCTCACCATGATCTTAGTACATGACCTACAGTCTGTTGGGAAGGGAGAGGGAGGTGCGATACTTTAATAACCTTGACAACAAAAAGTTATATCCTCTAAATCCACACAAACACATTTTGCTCAGTATATTGAAAGTAATATATCAAATTGCTGTAATTCTTGATAACCTAAATTTATTTCTGAGTGTTTAATTTCTGTAAATTTTGAAACTTTCATAGCAAATTCATACATAGACAGCTCTCCAATTAAAAAACACTTTTAATACTGGGTTTTCATAGGCTTTTAGCAGCTTTTGTCTTTAATTAGTATTACTAAGGTAACAGAGAGGTAACCATTTGGGGTCAGAGAAAATTGGTTTTAATTGAAGGAGTATTGTATTTTATTTTGTTTGTTTTATATCTATTTTATAATTTATTTGTCCTTATAAATCATTATTAAATAATAAAACAAAAATCAATGGTACCTCACTCCAAGCTGATAAAAAAAAAAAAAAAAAAAGGGGGGAAAGAAAAATTACTTATTTAGGCACTTAGAGCCAAGGATCAGTAAGGGAAAATTATACACAAGATGGTTTACATAAATTAAGACTTATACTTTGGCAGAGTGGAGTTGTTTATTGAGAAAAATGCTGGCCTGCATTCTGTGTAAAAATATCAACTTGATACAGCTATTGGTTCCTTGTTAATTCACTGTACCTTCACATATTGTCATATACTGTGTAATTGGTTCTATTTGATGTTATGAAATATTTGTTTTATGCTTATGTATATCTTATTCCAGTGCAGCTGCAAGTATAGCTTGCAAAGCTTTTTAGATAACCCCTCTTTAATACTGTAGTGCTATTTCCTCCCTGATACGTAGTACACTTGAACATAAATAATTGTGCAATTATTCAAAGCTTTTTTTTTTTCTCTTTTACCATTATTTTGTATTTTATCATTTTTATTTTATCTGCAAATCCACAATTTTAGTGAACTCATCATCTTTTAATTATCTATTAATGCAATTTAGACCTAACAACTTTTCGTTGTGTTTTTTTACACAACTCCCATATCAAATTATAAAAAGTTTTAAAAGTACTTTTTAATATATTTGTATTGTGAGATAAGTTTTAGTAAAAACTGAATTGAATTGAACTGACCAGGACACAGGCCATGATGAAGCGAATTTGTAACCTAATTAGTTTACTATTCAAATATATATATAATGATATATATAATACTATAAATGATAATTAGATCTGTAGTATTACATATTATAGTCAATACATATACCTACAAGTAAAAAAAAAGAAAGCTATTATAAACTTGATTATCATATCACTAATTAAAATAGGCAGTGCTATTAGTGACACCAGCCTTCAACGAATTCATAACTGTGAGTGTGGACTGGATTAGAACAATAACATCCAACCAGAATTAGGAATTCATTCAAAACTGGTGGAACTATAGCCACTGCCATTACAATAAATAATGTGTGCATTTACTTGGCTCCATGGGCCTTCAATCCATTTCGGAGGGCATTCATGGTTGTTGCAATCTTGTCGTTTGTCTGGCATGGCCTGTGTGCAATACATTGTTTTTACACGTTTTGTAGAATCTTTTGTCATCTGTCGTACACAGCTGACTTTGCGACGCCGTTTCCCGCCACCACATTCTGCAGAACATTCAGACCATTCGCTGATTTCCCACCTGGATAAATAATATCATTCAGTAAATAACACTGCATACTTGTTGAGATTTTTTTATTAGTACAAAGGTTATAAGCGTTCACCACTTTTATCACACTATTTTTTTTTTATTGGTATTTGTGATTTTTTTTTGTTTCATTTTATATTTATATATTTGCATATTTTAAGGAACAAGCTGTAAAATTGGTGCGAGCTATGTCAAGAATTTATTGTTATTTTGCAGTAAAAGAGCTGGTTATGCATAAAAATACTTTAAAGCAAATTTTTGTAACTTCCAAATTTATGTTTGATTATACAATACAATAGAGGGCCACCTGACAGATATGATTTGGCAATCTCCTTTGGTATTGTAGTTGTATGACTTTTTAATTGTCTTACTTTTGTTAGTATATACATGTTACTTGTTGGTATAAAAAATGAAAAAATAAAAATGAAAGAAAAACTTATCAGTCCATGTAATTTGAACTTGTTGATTCATAGACATATATATATATAGGTATAATATACCTACCCTAAGCATTTACTGTTGCTACTGTATTATTATTTTCATTAATTAAAAGGATAAATGTAATGATTCTGATACTGCTTCAATCAAAAATAACATAATTAACATTAATTGGTCACAAGCTTTAATTTTACATTGAAGCAATGATGGAGAGTTGTATGTAAAAGCAGGTCTAGGCCCAACTCTCTGTCATGTATTTGTGATTATTCAACTTATGTACTCACATGGCTGGACAGGGTTCCTCATTACAGGTCTGCGTACCTGTGAAAGGTTTGGTGTCCAGGTCACAGAAGCTGTCTTCGACTTCTTCAACGTCATCCATCCAACACTGCACAGACACCTGTAAATGGCCTGCAAAATGGTAACCAAAACAATGTCAATCAAGTGGTGATCCTAGCAGGTTCATGCATGAACTCCATCATACCTATCACTTACTTATAGTGCTGTTTGTTATTTTTCTCTCCAAATTTAATTTCCTCCTGTGAGAACTTTCAACCACAAATATCAAGGAAGCCTTCCTGATATGCCAGATTTTTGTTCATACAGTTGTACATTTTCAATCAAAGGTTGCTTCAAGCTGGGCATTCTGTATCCCCCAATTTAGTATTTGACTTTATCTTGTTTTCTGTGCTTAATCCATGAGCATAAGTGAGTACCTAAAAGAATTTTCTACTATTATAATACTTAACAATTTTAGAACTTGCCTGGGCAGGAAATTGGCAAAAGCCCAGATAAAACCTGCACCATATCATTATCATTAAGTGTTTTGGGGGAAAATTATATAGAAAAAGTAAGTAAATGTTTGCAGAGCTTTAGGGTGCATAGGGCTAGAGTTTATCTACTCAGGTTACTCCCAAAAATTTGCATGTACTCATTAATACAGCTGGGTAGCCTTGCCCAATGACACAAGTGAAATGCACAGCGAAGGATTGAAACCCCGACGGCAAAGTTGGGAAACCAAACTATTCCCAATGCGCCAGACCACTACCGCAAAATATATAAACATCATTCATACCTCTACTTTGAAAAATGTTTTTTTTTTATAGATATTACAGACAGTCTAGGGCTGTATATCTTTAAGCACTTTTATAATGTCTACGGCTTTTTGTGCCTTATGTATTTATTGTGCAGAAGTTTTAGTAAGTGCTGTGAATATGAAATAGTACTAGGCCTGTATAACAACCTTATTGATATTTTAATTTATAAAAATTTCTTGTTGAAATTTATGTAAATATTGGAAGTGGATGTCATATTGCTATCCACGTAGCTAAACACTGAATAACAAACATAATTCAATATAATTTTTAAAAATAATCAGGAAAAACAACATGTACAAAGTGAGAACATAGGAAACAATTCAAATTTGATTGACCAATTAAGTAAGGAGTAAGCTTACTGAACCAATTAAGTAAGGAGTAAGCTTACTGAACAACTTGATATGGTGTTCAGTAAGCAGAGAAAAAAAGAAAAGTCAGAAGGCAAAAACCGACTACTCAGCACTGGTGTATGATCCTGAAGTAAGGAGTAAGCTTACTGAACAACTTGATATGGCATTTGATCAAATGTTACCAGATGATGTAAACAAATTGAACGAGATCGTTGTGACCAAGGTCCGTGAATGTGCTGATGAGGTGTGTCCTAAATTGGAAGCAGTGAAGAGAAAAGAACCATGGGATGATGAAGAATTAAAGAAGCTTATTGATGATCAAAGGAATGTAGTTATGAGCAGGTGCAGATGTAGTGCTCACGACTTCTGGAATTTTTTGACTAACAAATTCATATTCGATCCCTGGGTTGATGCCTTGTAGCAGCAGCTGAAAGACAAGAATGGTTGAGCCTCACATTATGGTAAATAACTAGGGCTTGCTAACACTAAACAGATTTTAATACTGTATTTATTTATTTTTTAATCATTTTAATCATGTGAGCTTTACCAATGTGGAACTTGAAGCTCTATTTTTGAGTAGGCAAGTTCTTTTAAGTTGTGAAAAGAAAACTATTATCAAATTTTTGATTTCATTGTTTTTATGATAATACTGAACCACTTCAGAAATCAAAGCTTTAGCAATAAAAGTATCATTCAGTATAAAGAAATAATCAATATTAATAAAATAAAAATAAATAATTTGCATTTTTTACCTTTATTTTCTGCTATTAGTAAATGAAAAGTGGTATGGCCAAATAATACATTTGTTTCTTATAAATCATGGTAATGTGTCCGTATAAACCAATATACGATGACATTATCTAGGCTCAATTTTGATGTGTGTGACCAAGCCTATATGACATTACCAATACTAAAAATAGTAAAATTCTACAGCTGGTTATTCGGATGCATGATCTCGTGGGAATAATTTCACCTGCTAACTTGCATGCACAGGTAGGGTGAATTAAATGGGCATGCCAACTACCGTGTCGCATTATACAATCACATCTGTAGCCCCCAATAGCGCATTAATCCTCAATGTTGCATGATAATTGCTAGGTTATTTACACACGGTTGCTTCATTTCACTTTCATTAAGACGAGGATAATGCACTTGCAAAAAAAATAAGTCTGACATATATTTTGTCAGTTTGACAACACAAACAGGATTTAGGGGGAGCACCTTATCTTCTGGCATCTAGAAAACAAAAATTTCCCCCTACAGTAGTGTTGTCTCTTGATTTCCCCCACCCCACCCCCCTACCCTTTCAGACATCTCTGGGTCCGCCCCTCAAACTTGTATGCAGTACAATACTACACAAAATGGTGCGAGAAATCCTTTGGGCAAAAACAACAAGAGGTAAATCACTAGAGTGTGGCCCACTCAATCCATATACAGTATTCCAAAGGCAGGATTTAAATCCCATGTACTTCCATGAAAAACCACATCAATTCTGAACATGATGACTGTCGTTTTTCAAACATGAACTCTTTTGTGAATTGAGTGAACAGTTGTGTGGAGGTGCAGTAGAACGGCTTGCACATGCTGCAGACAATCACGCAAATCACATGATCGCTAGGGAAAGCTTATTAATATTGCACAAAGCATGCAATTCCATGTAGGAATTTTTTTTTCCATGGATAGCTATTTGAAATGCTGCCAAGCAATGCTCCAGTGTGAATCATTTGAATGAGTACAAACCAATTCCCAGAAGTAGGAAGATTTCCTTCCTCAGGTAGAACCAGCACTCACCTGTTGTGTATGTCAGGTGATATGAGATCAAGAGGTCAAATTTATGAATGAAAACAATATTTAAAAAAATGCTTTATTCAATTTATAACACTTTGCCAAGATTATTTTAAAGGAATAAACATATGATCTTAGTCACTTAACCTAATTGAAAAATCACTTCTACTTCTCAAGAAATAAATATAGGTTTAGGGTATTATGTTTTATAGTGACAAATGGACACAGGAATAATCTATATGACCTAAACAATTTCTGACCTGATTTCATAGAAAAAAAAAAACATTAAATACACAATTTAAAGGAAATATGATTCCTATCATAAATTATACCAAAATATAGAATTTATTTAAAACCATAAATTTAGATCTTTTTATAAAATAATTTTATTCAGTTTTTTTGTTGTGATCTCTTTTAATAGGATTGGTTTAATTTGTTTTATCTAATGGGATCCAAATTCTAAACTCAAGGAAATAAGAATTTGGTAGATAGATATTGGAAATATAATTACAAGAATATTGCTGATAAAGGCTATTATTGAGTGATTGATAGATGTCCATTCCTGCCTTTATTACTCTCAGAATCTTAGTGATAGTACACACACCCGCACTACACACAAGCAAGTTAAATGATCAATGGTTGGGGGTGGAGGATTCATGAAACAAATATTAAAATACGTGTCAACTACTAGGTTAATTATGTTAATAATCAATAACTGAAATTAGGTTCTAAAGAATATTTTAAAATGTAATTTTTCATAAAACTATTATTTTACAGTTATTAATTTTTTTAGAAATAACTAAAACCATGTGAATCATTATGCTCTTCCTCTAAAAAATATAAACTTTATTTTCCAAGATAGAACACAGCAGCATTCAGATATTGAATTGTATTGATCAATAGTGGCAGATCCAGAAATTTGAAACAGAAGGGAGGAGGGGGGGGGGAAGACTGGGGAAGGAATTACAGATGGAGGTTGTAGACAACCTCAGTCCTACCATGTTTGGGGAGCTGAGGTTTGATATTAAATGTTTATGGTGTGGAATTACATCTGCATGCAATTTTATTTTCCCTCATTTTTTTATGTTCACAAATTTAAAAGGGTGGGGCAACCAGACTATCACCCTGCCACCTTCAAACCTCTTATCAAGATTATTCACACAACACGGACAGAATTTCTTCTAAGTTCTGTCACTCCTGATCAGCCAAGTACCTGTCCTACCTGACCCAAGTCAAGCTACACCAAAGCCTTCAAATGACTTGCTATCTTGGATATGTCTTATCTTTGACAACCAAATAACATCACTGATTGAAATATTTCAACAGGACTAAAAAATCAGAAATAGGTGTCACCGAAAATAACCCCATGAATTGGAAATGGACAACAGCAACGCTTCTCCCATCAAGATCTGTAAACGATCCTTGAAATTTATCCGTCCAGATCATTAAACACAATTTTGTCAGGTTTTCAGCAAAAGTGAAAATTACTTGAACTTTTTTTTAAATTAACCAATAAAAACCTGACTGATTTATGTACAATACAGTTTAGTGAATGGAAGTATAAAACCAATATATCTTCTGCCTGTTACTAGTGATACTCTTCTATCTAATTATCTTTTCTATCTAAGGCGAGACCTTTTTCTTATACCCTGTTTAGTGAATATGCAGCTTGCCAATAATGATTTAAAATAAAAATAAAATTTTATTTTTGGCCAATTAGCGTACCCGCCGCCACGAAAAGAAGAAAATTTTCAGAAAAATACAGAAGTTTTTCTTTATTTTTATATGCTGGCCACTGCATTGAAATCTCCAAAAATAAGATATGTATTTCTTCCTAATTATATGAATTTAAAGCATTTAACCATCCCATTATCAGACTGTTTACATTCACCAGATTCAATTTTATTTTTACTTACTCCTCCATCTAAATGTTTTTGGCCAAACTATTTTGCTAAATAAAAAAAATAAAATTTTATTTTTATTTTTTCCACCCTCCTAGCTGACGATTTAAAAAAAACTAAGTTCGCGAAACAAGAAAGAAAGTCTCGCCTAATATGTTAATAATAATAATAATCAAAATATTATATTATTAGATATAGGCAAGCATCCTAACTAAACTATTAAGATTGACATCATCAGCATTACATTCGGTTTAACATCTGTTTTCCGTGCTGGCATGGGTTTGACGTTCAGCTACATGCAATATTACTTACTTCTAATACCAGAGTTTCTGAAGTAGGGCCACTTGCTTCTAAGGACTCTGGTACGGTGTATGATCTCTTATACATGAAACTGCTACCCCCAAAGTCCATTTGTCCCGGCCAATCGATGGTCCAGCTTCCTGTCAGGTAATACTTGTTACTCTCCTTGCTGCGGACCGCCAGGTAACTTGGTGAAGGCTTTTTCTCGGATATTTTAATGTTTCGGGATCCTGATGGAATTTCTACTATTGAATAATAATCTGCAATATTCAATCAATAATACTGTCATATTTTAAATATTAAGGGAGTTTTTCATGTTTCTTTGTAGGGTAAAATTAGCATCTTCATTTACCTTTTTAATATATCTGTTACATAATGTAAATAGTATAGTATACCAATAAAAATTTTCCAGTTTTTGTAATGTGTATATTACATACCCTTTTTATATCTTGTGACAATATTATTAGTAAATATCAACTTAAGTTTTTACACGTATTCCTTTACATCCTATTTGAGTAAAGTGATTAATTGTTACAACTCATGGTGGTTGATATANNNNTCTGAAAGCATTTGTAAAGATCTGTCTCTTATACACATCTAGATGTGTATAAGAGACAGCCATAAACTAGAGTAAAGGTTTGTGTTAGATAAGAAAATAAATCAATTCAGCTGTTCCCAAAATACAAATATTTATACAATAACAAAATCGGTTTAAAAATGAAAATAATGAATATGATAATGTTTCTAAAAATAATTATCAAAATTACTAATCTATTTATAGTTAGTGTAACAATAACTTTAAATCAAGATATAAAGTTTCGAGAAAATGAATTATACATATGAATAACATATATACCGTAAAACCTTGAATTGAAGCCCAAAATGGGCTTCATCTTGAGATTAAGCCCATTAGGCTTCAATTCGATGTTTTACGGTATGGCAATAGAGGTTGTCAAGTTATTCTGCACTAAATATATATGAAGGGGCAATGAAGAAGAAGGGCAATGGATTACTCCCCTAAAATCTCAAGCCTCAAAATTTAAGGAAAGTGAGGTCTCATTTAACTGTGAATTATAGTTAGATCTCTCTATCAAGGACTGGACCTTGTATGTAAATCATAAAGTATTAAAAACACTCATGGAGAATAACATAAAACATACTATTCGTTGCGTGTTGATCGTGATATTCGCCTTTGACGAAGTCACATGTAGAGTTGTCTCCTCTGCAGACACCACATGCATCCTCCTTGGCTCCGGAGCCTAGCAGATGGTCGCAGCCTACAACCTACAGGAAACAAAAAATTCAAAATGTGTAAGCAGGAGATAATTTAAAGGAAAAATTAATTACTACTAATTATTCAAAAGTAGTTGAGATGAGTTGTAATGCTTAATAGAATTGTGACTCACTGTGTTTATATATTTAATATTTTGGAAAAAGCTGATCCCAACTATCATTCTTATGGTTTTTCTTTAAGGAAGAGTCGAACATTTCTAATGTAGAATAAATACTTGGTGGAAAAATGGTTCTGATGCACAAGCAGAGTGATAATTAAAAATCAGGGTAGGTCAGATTGCAATAAAAATATTTTAACTGTAGACCAAATAATAATAATAATAATAATAATATAATAATTATAAAAATAACAATATTTCAACAAAAATAATAAAATAGACAGAAGTTTCAATGTATCAATAGTAACAATTATATGTTGTAAATAATAACAATATTACAAGAACAATAATAAAAAAAATACATTAATGACAGCGATGGAGATTTTAATTTTAAATTTATCAACACATATTGTATAATACCTTTGTAACTGTAAGGTAAGTAAATCTTAATTGCACCTCTTTATTCTTTTTTACTAATAAATTCTCATCTCTCAAACTTTGGCAGACTGAATATATCAAACAAGTATGCTTGCACAACAGACATTTCTTCTCGCTTCCTAATACAAAATAGCATTTCCCCCACTTGCGTACTGAATGACGTTGATTCCCCTTCACATAAACACCATGGACATCAATTTATCAACAGTTACTGGACTATTTACAATTACACCAGTTATAGGTCACTTGAAACTAGGCCAATACATGTACAATTTTTTGAATAACTTCAGTTTTTGCAAGTATTATCATAACTTATATGATAGAGAAAGTAATATTTGTTTTTTTATTCAAAAGCATATGGTTCTCCTAAAAATGTCATTCACAGTATTTATTACTATTATAGACATTTGTTCTTTTCCTTGGTGTGTTTCAATCAATCCATCAACTTTGCCAACATTATCAACAGTAAAATAATACAGTAAACCCATATAAAATCACATTCAACATTCAGAGTCAATTAATGGACTTTCATGGAAAATACACATTAAATTGAGACTACATTGGAGTATGTTTAACATCTAAAGAAACCCAATCTGATTCAATCCAATCCTTTTCTAGGCAAACCCAAAAGGCTGCATGTACAGTACTGCACACACACGGGATAGATTTTCAACAACATTTTACAATGACAAACATGTTGTATGCACTTATCTATACATTGTGGATAAAGTTCTAACAGATTTTTCAGGGTGGAGAAATGACCACAAACTGAAAGAGTTGCAAGACCCTGACAATACCAAGGCTTCAGAGGTTTACATTCTGTGAAATCTAGGTAAAATCCCAAAAGATAAGGTCAGTAATGCTCTGACAGGTGCAAGAATATAAAGCATTTAAATGGACAGTATTTCGTCTGGTATATAAGCCCATCCCCTTTGAACACATTATTAGGCTGATTTTTGAGGGTGGGCAGATACCCAGGAATCTACTTTTCAATTAAAAAGCACTTCCAGCCTTCTTCAAAGCTAATTTTTAATTTTTTTCTGAAAGCATTTGCAAAGATTCAGCTAAAGCGACTCATTCAAATCATGACCTTTGCCTGAGGAAAGCTATTTGAGTGTAAAGTAGGGAATGGGCTTATAACTGAAAAGGGCTTATACTGAGGGACTAGGTATTAAGGCAGTGGATATATATAGGAGTAAAGTTAAATAGCTTGATTCTTGCCTTAATCACAAGGTCCAAATAATTCTCATTGAAAATAGACTAAATATTTCTTGAAAGCATGGCGAGTATCAATAAAAAAATCAGGAAACTTTCGGTACACCCTGTGTAATTATATGGTTTTTGAGGTAAAACCACTGATAGACTACAAAACCATATCATGTCGGGATTGGCGCCCAGATATATCAGCTCATATTAAACACAAACATCTTGTTGTTGGACCACTGTTTTAGTTCTGTTTTTCTATTCCTGTGTTCAAAATGAAACTTTCTAAATTAGATAACTTTTTCAAATTAGGAAACTTTTTCAAAGCCCAAAACAGTGGTTCTCAAACTATGAGTTGCAACCCAAAATAAATTAGATGGTTGCAAGATTCTTAGGATATTTTTAAAAATTCATGCGCAATATAAATTAATTTTAAAATCAATTTTCAATTTTAATTACCATGTTCAGCATAAGTTTTTTCACCTCAAGGAAGAGGTTGCAGTAAATTGCCTAGACATTTGTAAAAGTCGGCCAAAAAGTTTGACCATTGCTGGTCTAAGAGTACTAGCAGAATTCTTGCTAATAAAAGGCACCAACATCTGATCTATCAAAACAGCCCTATTTCACCTTTGAGGATGTCACTCAAATTTATCAGAGATGACTTGTCGGCTGTGTTAACTTTAGAAAAGATAAGACAAGAAATACGTAAGCAAAACTAGCCAATGCTCGATCATCGTTTCCTGAAGAAGACAACCCAAGATGACCAGAAAAAAAAATGGCCATGGTCAATTCTTAAACCACTTTTGCCTAGGGGAATCCAATGCCCTTGATACAACACCAGTGGTCCCCTCAGGGAATACACACTATCACCTGCTAGTGAATGATCACTCACATTGGACATTAAAAATCAAAATCAATAAACACATTTGTTTTGCCTGACAGATTGTTTTCATAAAGGATTTAATTGACAGGTTGTCACAGAAATTTTGTTTCAAAATAGTTTTTTCCCAACAAATAAATAATTATTTTTCTTTTTGGAAAGTTTGGGCCCACATTTAAATAAATGTAAATCTCATAACTATTATAAAAAATATGCATTTTTATCATAATTTATTTATAAGTGGTGGAGGGCAGCATCTTTTAAAATATGATAATTTATTTTTGCTAGGGCTATATTGCCACACAGTGCTACAACATCATTAAGGCTAGATTTTTTAATATCCTCTTTAGCGAAGCCGCCGCCCACTAATAATGATGATTTCGAATAAAAATAAAATTTTATTTTTGGTTAATTAGTGTAGCCGCTAAGAAAAAATGGAAATTTCAGGGGAAAAAAAAATTCCTTTATTTTTATTATGCCTGCTGCTGCCTTTAAATCTCCAAAACTAAGATAGTAATTATTTCTTCCTAGAAAGCATTTAACCATCCCATTGGTCGCCATCTTATTTCATTATCAGAACGGCCTAGTGTTGTTTGTTTATTTGGTATGATTCATGGACTGTCAGCACCTTGAGACGATATTATTGTGGAAGGACGCACAACAAATATACTATTACAATTATCGATATTTCAGTAGCACATTTAACTGTTCCTACACCTGACTCAATGAAAGGTCGCAAGTTTTCAAAAACTGATTCCATTTATTTCTTGAAAATTTGGAGGTTTTTTTTTAAAGCCATGGATTGCCAGAGAAAGTAGCCGGCACTATAAGCTCATGCAGGCCTCTGTACCTACCTGTATGTGCAGGAACCTAACACCTGACTCACAATACTCACACTATACATGTTGGACACTACCCTGCTTCCTCCCATATAATTTCAACTTCCTAGACAGACCTTAAAATGGATCCAAAACAACGGAATAGAAAGCGTTGTTGACCAGAAGGCTATGAGAACTAAACATCGATGAGTGCCGATGCTCCTCAGGCAAATAATGTGTGCAGTACAAGTTTCTCTTCTGTCAATTATAGGCTTCCTGAAATCAGTTCTTTTGTTTTTAATTCATTTTCCATGAGAATAGGTTTTATGCAATCCATCTGCAATACTGTAAACAAAGCTTCCTGATTATATTTAAAGCTGAAATTAAATTCATTTAATGCTCTTAGCAGACATTTATTCTTGTGATATCATATCTTAAATTATTAATTGATATTGATAAAAAATAAATCCAATTATATTAGTCATCATTATTTTATCAATATGGTACTGAAGATGCATGTCAATGGCATTGCCAGAATTTTCAGTGTGGGACAATATCAGGGTGGACCAATTTTCTTAAACGTTGTCCCATTTTACGCTAAAATATGCATAATCTGGACCTATTTTCTTAAAAATTGACACATTTTACTTAAAATATGAGAAATCTAGACCCATTTTTAAAATGTGGACCCATTCTTTGTGGACCTAATAGAAAAATTGTGTGGGACTGATCATTGATACTACTAACCATTATGAAAAATAAATCACTGCGTTATTCCATTTATGGACAAACGCAATAACAGGAATACTTAAACAACTGGAATCAGAAGCTGTCCCGCTCAGTATGGAAGTAATGTGAGCAACTTACATCCTCAGGAATTTGCAATAGTGGCGGTTTAGCGCATTCAATTTTGTAATTTGTTTCTCACTTTTTTACAGACTTTATTTCGCATTATTTTTCTTTACTATATTTCATTTTCTTGATAGGTTGGTGAATTCTGCTACAAAAAAATGATAGCTGCATTTCCTGAAGACTTTATCAACTTCAAGAACTTTCAATTGCACATAACAGCAGAAGAGCTGCTTTTTGGATGCAGCCACACACAGGGTACTCTATCACCCACTAAAGGCAATACTCCGGTCAACAATTGGGCAAAGCAAGAATTTGAAGCCAAACAACTTTCCCAACCTGAACATACATACTAGAATGAATACCAATTACAGCATAGTCAACAGAACCTGTTGAACATTGACCACCAACCGGCAGAATACTTTCTCGAAAACTCACACCCCTGTAAGTATATTTATTTTAATTATATATATTTTGAAAAAATTAATTAATTAATTAATACAATCATAATTTCTGTACAGTTTTTTTTCGAATTTGTCCAACATGTATGGTGGATAAAGAAACATCTAAACGCCATCACATGGAGTGGATCCAATTGCTAATCTGCTGCTGGCGAGGGATGGACCAATTGGATATTAGTATATTCAACAAGGATCATCACTGCTTTCGTCAAACTATCTCGCCAGCAGCAGACGAGCATCAAGTGGGACGAATGCTTTCTGCAGACAGAACCAAGAGAGGTTATCCGGCAATGCTATCACCAGCGTTTATCAATTTTAAGGAAACGACAGCAACAACAAGTAGTAAGAGGCCCACAGGTGAAGGAGGGAGAACATCAACCTCCTGAGGACCAACAATAACCTGAGGATGACATCCAAGAATTGCTACAGCATCAGCCAGTAGTGGTATTAAGAAAATCATGGTAATGAAAATCCATATTAGCCCGAAACTTCAAAATACTGGGTTGGTGTCCGGCAGGCCATAGTTTCACCATTGTAGCCCAAGGGCATAGTTTAAAAAAAAAAGCTTTTTAATGCAGCGAGATGTGATCATTTAAATGTTTGTTTTGTTAGCAATGAGTTCAGAAGGAATTTGAAATTCATTTTAAACTTGTCCCTACCCTATGATACAAAGTTTGATAGGGATGAGTATTTGGGTCAGGTTCTAGCTTACAAAACACTTTAGTACGGGGAAAATCCACAGCATCGTATCTAAAAATATAATTACATTAGCAAATACAAAATTGCGAAAATTTTAAGCTTTACCCCAATAAAATGAGTTTTAGTGACGTTATGAAAAAAAGAGATTTTATGGAATTTTGCCGCGTTATGCTGTTTGTGGTCCAAAACTATGTTTGTAATGTATTTATGATATATACTTGTGACAGTATACAGAATTGAATTTAATAAATCCATTTCTAAATGAAAGAATTCAAGATCAGGAAATAACCATGCAGTATAGAAGAAGCAATGTAAAAAAAAATGAACAAAAATACTGTATATTTAAATAGAATTGAACTCTAGACACAATCCTATATAATCATTTTCAAATGCACTAAAGGTTTCCTTCTAAACAAGGTCAAATGGCCACACATAAAACATCACCATAATATTCACCTGCCGTTTACGGCTGAAGTCAATAACATTATGTCTACATTGTACGTCATCGCCAAACCTGGGACTATCACAATGGCATCCTGGTTTAAAATCAAATTGAACATCATTATGAATGTTAGGGTAGCCGATGGCAAAGTGGGTATTTATATTTTGTTGGGGTGACTTTATCTGGATCAGCCAAAGCTATCTTAGACAGCTGCTGACATCCATGGATTTTCCCATGATACGGTACTCTTGAAATGATTTAGCTGAACAGCAATTGTAATATGCATTGCTGTTTCTCACTCCCTGCCACTTTTTCTTTCCCTATATTTCTGCAATATTTCTTTGCTACCCTAACTCTTCTTCTTCAATTTCCTTCATTACTTGAAATGATAGGGACAATTTAAAATTAAATTTGTTTGTTACTAAAAATTAAACTAAATGTTTTAGCAACATAAATCCCAAGAACCTTATTTTTCCAGATTTAATAGTAACAAAAAACAAAGTATTTTTTTTATCAACCCTACTATTAAATAGGTAAAAATAAAGGCTCAGACAATGTCACACGACACGATTTATCATCACGGCTTGTCGCTTCATAAACATGTTAACATTCTTCTGATGACCTAATACCCTCAACCCGGTTATATAACAAAACCACTTCGCCTGAAATTAATTAACACAGACCCGATGTAAAGGTTAATCATGTTAGGCTATGTCACTGACACTGTCCAAGATGGCCATAAAAGTATGAATTACCTCACAACGCCCATTGATGCAGACATCTAGACCTTTATTACTACAGCGTGTCCCATCTCTAACTTTGCTGGACAGTGCAAAATAGAAATCAAAGCCCTGGGCTCGACAATACAGTTTACACATATCTCTCCCTAAAAGAACAAAACATGTTTGTTAAATACCACTGCCAGAATAGTAAAAGTCAACAATTAATGATAATTACCACAGCAAGATCAGTTAAGGGTATAGAAACAATATAGTAAATAAAAAATGATTCACATGAGAGACTATATATAAAAATAGGCTCCCAGTCAGCATGTGTGGCTTCTGCTTGAAATAGGTTTTTTTTTGTTACTTTTAACTCATAACCCATCCACAAGCAACAGATTGTTGACTTTTTAGTTCTTTCTGCAAAGGTCTTATTTAGGCAAGCCATTATGTTTCATATCTTTAGCATCCCATCATTCCTGCAACCTGATTTACTCTCACAACTTACAAGTGAGACGATAGCTAAGTGGCACAAAAACACAGCTGTAAGAATTAATAACAAAATTTGTACTTACTTTCTAAAGGTAAATACGGCTTCCATTCGTAGTAAAAGCCTCGGAAAGGTTTACTATTGTAGGCAGCGCACTGTTGCTCTCTAAAATCAACTATATTTTCTGTACATTCCTGGAATAAAATAAAATAATAATGAATGAAGGCTTACTTATCCTATTAAGACATATATATTATGCACTGTCTTCAGAAGATCCATTCAAGCTGTTGGCCCAAGTGCATGTCAATGGATGCAGCACTACTCTTTGAAAATAAACTATGGATCCCTTGGTACATACACCTTTTTTTTTTATAAGAACCAGTAAAATTTTGCCCAGGCTCTGTGTTCTTATTTTTTGTCTGATTTTAGGCTCAAACTGTTCTTATTTTGTTCTTATGTTACACACTTTTCAAACATAAAAAATTATTATTGTACAGCATTATACACTGTATTGGAATGTAGGTAAAGGTGGCCCCGGCAAAAATGGTCCCTAAATAAAAGGCCCCTAAAAAATGGCCACAGAAAAAAGGTCCCAGTAAAAATGGCCCCAAATGACAGGTAGGTACACATACTGTTTACTGCATTATAGAGGGTATTACATAGTCACACATACTGCACATAAGGTAGATATAATTATCTGGTTTTTCTAGTTTTTTAAAAATAAAAATCTCATTTGACATTAATTTTACCTCAGCCTCAATTTGCTCTTATTTTGTTCTTAATATTTAAGCAATTTCAGCCTCAGTGTTCTTATAAAATGTGTTCTTAAAAAAAAAAAAAAAGAAGTGTACTCCACTGGGAGTAAAGTCTTTGTCCCTTTCTGGTTTCCTTGGTGTAGTTCAGACGATAAAAAAGCAACCAACATATTTGGCAATTCCAAAAAAAACAAAAAAAAAACAGTGTTAACAAAAACATTAAAAGAAAACTACATACACTTTATATCTAATTATAAAAAGTATTGTTTTTATTAGTATAAAACACAGTGTCATTTTCAATCTCTGCTATTAATATTATTATCAAACACTCACTTGTGTATTACACATGCTATAAATTCTGCTTGGACCTTCACAGAACTTTCCACCATACTGGGGGTCTGGATTGTTACACTTTCTCTCCTGGTATCTAACACCACCTCCACAGGTCCGTGAGCACTCTGAGAAGTCCCCATACTTGCTCCATCCTCCATCGATAGGACTAGGCCCTGTGTTACCGTGATCCAAGCAGAGGCCCTTGACGCACCACTTGTTGGTACCGCACATAGTGCCATCCGCTGCTGGCAGATATTTTGTCTCACAACGCCGATGGCCTTGGTGGCACCACAGTGATTTGCAAACAGACTGCAAAAAAGTTTATACTTTTGTATAGTGAAAATATCTAAAACATGATACAAAAATATTTCTGATAAGGGGGCAAGGGATAGGGTATTTACATATCTACTTTATTTTATTACTTTAGCTTAGGTGAGAATTTTTTTACCTTAATTGTTCAACAAACACGTTCCCCACAAATAATGATGATTTAGAATAAATATAAAATCTTTTTTTTTGGCCAATTAGCATACCAGCCTCCACGAAAGAATAGAAATTTCAGAAAAAAATTTCTATATTTTTATTATGCCTGCCACTACCATATAATCTCCACAAATAAGATATGTATATTTCTTCCTAATTATATAAATTTAAAGCATTTAACCATCGCATACTACACACTTTTTACATTCACTACTAAAAGTTTATTTCTATTTTCTCCTCCATCTAGATGTTTTTGGCAAAACTACTTTCCAAATTAGAAAACAAAATTTTATTTTCATTTTTTCCACCTCCCTCTGACGATCTTTAAAAAAAATGAGTTTACGAAACAAGGTATAAAAAGGGTCGCACCATAATAGCTCATACACATACAGCATATCTTATTTCTACAGTTTACATGAAAAACATTTTGACTTTTCAACTGAAAAGTTGCGGTTTGAATACCATTCTGGATATTCATATGTCTCGTGTCTCCCCACTTCCCCAGGCATATCAAATGTTACCTGGTAGAATGGTAATTATATATCCTTGATGTTGAATGTGTTTTATGTTCTACATGCATTTAGGAAAACTCCTCATGGAGCGGGGTGAATGCACATTGTGTGTCACATTTACTGTTTTAAATGTTCAGCGTGAAAGCGCTTTCAGACTTTCAGATATAAAAATTGAAAATCAAATTAACAAAAATCCTTTTATGGTCAAAAATTTCAATTCTATGCTGCCTTGTTACATAATATGGTTGAGTGACTAAATAGCTGTATATAAATTGATATTATCGGAGCAAGCTGTATATAAATTGATATTATCGGAGCATGGAAAGATAGAGTACAGTCTAACAGGTGCTAATCTGTATATCAAACCAGTCAGAAATTGCAATGTTATAATATCTATAGCGTTCATTGTCACATTTTCGGATATTCTATTTTGCAAACTTACATGTCCCAAATTTAGAGGAAAATACCTTATATTAGCAGAGAGGTAGAATAGTCAAATCATTGAGAATCAGAATAAAAAAAATATTATTAAATATAATTCACAATTCGGTATTCAATATAATGGCTGTCCTGTGGTGGTCATTTACTGACTATGAAGAGCAAATGGTTTTTAACAATCGACAATAAAATGATATATGTGGCAAAGACAAGCCAAACCAGTCACTCGTCGCAAAAATTGATATTTAGTTAGATTGAAAAGTAAAATTAAAGCTATAAAATGGTAAAAGAATAATTTCATTATGAAGTTACAGGTGTTTAAACATACAGCTAAAGAACAATATTTGAGAAACCAGCCTTCAAAGTTTAAGATTTCAGGCAATTCTTAATCAGAAATCATTACCAAATCGTTAAAAATTGTTGTTTTAACATTGAAAATGAGGAAAATAACAGCAAAGCATGATGTATAGATATCTAAAGGTTAATTTAGTGCAATGAAATAGATTTCTAAAATTCAAGTATGTTTTGGCTATATCTCCAAAACAGGATTTGCGACGAGTGACTGGTTTGGCTTGTCTATGCCACATATTGTGATCATTATATTAAGAAACCTTAGCAGTAAGTCTCAACTGAGAATCTAACCTATTCTGGCACCTGCTTTTCGTGGTAGGCCTACTTGTGTGGTACCTGCACTCAGGGTCCTGCTGATTGACATATATCCCATAATTGACCCTAAATATGTTATTTACATTTTTGAAGGCTACGATCCAGATTCATGTTGTCATTTGATACGAATCATGTAGTCATAGCCAGGGGATCTAGGTAGCTACTGTATCTGATACCAAGTGGGATATCTAGGATTATTGTCATGAAGAGAATGGTGGGGATTTAAGATTAAGTTAGGGAGGGGCCTTAAAGTGAGAGAGTTTTATTTGGCAAAATAAGGTGAAATGAGGTAATTTTTGACTAAGTATAATGTATTATTTATTTGTTTTCATTTACCGAAAGCACCTTGAGTTGAAAGCAGAATAACAGACAATCCTAAACTTAATAGGCATACTTATATGAATTATTATTCATTTACACAGGGTAACCCCAAACAGTTACAAAGCTAAGCGAATCAGTAGGGTGGCTGCAAACCCCATGAATATTCATTCCTCTGCTGATATCATCATCAATTTGATATAAAAACTTCTTCAGATTTAACACCAAATTTTGGATAATTGTTGTTTGGAAAGGGACATTGGTTAAATAACAAAATGGTTTAATCTTTACAATGACAAAGATGAATGCTAAGCGTTTTAATTTACATGGCTCTTTATCCATGTAAACATAACCTAAATGTTAACAGCTAAACGTTTACTCTAAGAACTCACTGACAACTGATTATAAGCGATGTATTTAGTCTGGAGCATCAAATACAGTTTAGGAGTGTCTGTTATTCTGCTTTCAACTCAAGTAGGATGCTTTAATGTTCTGTGCACTCAGCTCTCTAATCACCAAGATACAGTTTGTAAAGTAAACACAACTCAGAAATCTTGAATTATTTTAAGTAGGGCTCACTTTAACAACCTTAGAGCAGTTATTGAATGGTACATTGACCATAACAATAATGACCTCAAGATTAAATGCAATGAAATATGAAGAAAGAGTGGATAAAATGAGAACAGTTATGAGGATACTGTAATAAGAGTGTAAACAAAAAATAATGCAAAGTCACAGTATTGAAGCATAAATATATTGGCTAAATCATATACCATATATGTCTATTGATTTGGGTATCAGATAAAATGGGGTTAATAGACTATAAAAATTCAGTTAGTATTTGCCTTCAAGGTAGTTGTTCAAATTTAAACTTTCTACTTCTACTTTACATTCCATACTTGATTCAATTGTCGTGTTATTTCTTTCATTATTATGTTGTTTTTTTTACATTTCTTAAAAAATAAAATAATCTACCTGTCAACCTCAGCTACTCCTACAGGTAAATTTAATTAGAAAATTCCCCCTCCCAAAAAAAAAGCTTGCTCCCCATCTCCAAGTTTCCACATTAGAAAAGTTGGAAGCAAAAATATTAAGTAGTTTAAAATCACCTCATATCTTCTTCCCCCCCCCCCATCCCAACATATCAAAACACAGTGAATAAATGAAAACAACACACTAGAATTAAATTTTAAAAAAATCTAAAAAAAAAAGGGAAAAAAGGGAAACAAGGACTATAAATAAAGAACCACAATTTAAAACATCTGGAGTAATATTCAAGTAGGACTACAATAATATAATCATTGAAAATTTAGGACTTTGTAACTTTATCTTTGGTACCTGAGCAACTTTTCCAAAATCAAATGAGCAGAGACGAGCGTCTTTGCCAAATTGCCATTTACACTGAGTATCAGGATCATAAATCTCGCCAGGCATCTTCTTCGGAAAATCATACTGGCCAGTTGAAACGGGTTCGTCTTCAAGGCATAATGCTTGCTCTGAACTGGGTTGAAAAAGACATTAATAATATTAATTATATTAACATTATATTTAAACAGATAATATTCATATTGTACAAGGCTGTGAAATAAATATTTATACAAATATTTATAGAGAACAAAAAATGTTAGTGCTATATCAAAATCATAACAATAACAACAACATTAACACAGAAAAGTTGTATCACACTGAGGATATTCTTTTACAAGTCTGTGATTGCCATTAAATAAACAAATATAAATCAAGTAAGAAAAAAAAAACCACCAAAGTGAATTAATTTAACTAAACATACTTTAATTTAAGATATAGACTGATCTATAAAATAGAAGTATGCAACTAAAAAAGAAAAAAAAAAGAAAATAATTTGGAAGAAAATATGAACACAGAATAGTCTTTTTATCATACAATTAAAAAAATAAAACAAATGTTATGATCACAATATATTTTATAACCTACTGTATATACAAAGAAACTTACTTTCCAGAAAATATGTTGTATAAAAATATTTCAAATATCAAAATTTGCAAGGATCATACATATAACAATATCATTTTTGGCATTGCGCCATAATGTTGACAAAGTTTCTTAGAGTAAATTTGTATGTAGGCTTAATGTCAGAATGATAATAACCCATTTGTGGTTTGAAGACAGTTTTGATAAGCCTGCTTGGCTTCGGACCTTCATTCAAAACCCCTTAGAGACTTCACAAGATTATTATGAACGCATCTTCACAAATACATTTGAGAAAGGGCGAGTATGTCTCGTGAAGTTTCTTATTTTCTGCCCATCGGGAACGAAATAATTGCTAGCTTAATTGTCCCTATAAGCCTCTTTCTCCTTGCCTGGATTTTATGTCTCTAGGGTGGGTGTCTATGGGCCTGGGATTGACTATATTTCAGGGGATTTGTTCCTCCATCTATTAAATCTAGCAATGACACTCCTATGGGATCTTCCATATAACCTAGGATCAGTATTTTCAACAGGAAAATGAGAAACGATGACCAGCAGGCCTATCTATTATTTCCAGTTAAATCTATTTTGTCTTGACCTAATTTTGGGGGATAAAGCGTTTGTGGTCAACTTAAGGAGGGATTTTGATAATAATACTGCTCTCAAGCAGTTGTTATTCACTACTTCGGTCCATCCAGTTGAAGTTTACACAATTTATGATAACATCAGAAAATAATTTCATGTATTTTATTTATTAATAACCTAGGCCCATTTAATCTGTCGTACAAATATTGTATATCAAACAGAAGATCAGCAAGGCATACTCACTGGAAGGTAGACACAAAGCGTCCATAGCTTGAATATGGATACTTTTAGTCAATGAAACCACTTGGAATGCTACTATCATGAATAGTTTTAATGAATTTCATTTATTTCAGAATTTAATTTTTTAAAAGCACATATGTATTTAAAAAAAAAAAACAATGAAAATTACATTTTAAATTATAAACTGGCTTAGCCTAAAAAATATTTACTTATTAATTTTACACTTTTATACCCTATTCAGACTAAACTCCATTGCGATTTGTTGTGATGTGATTGGTGGTAGTCCAGAACTCATTACTCCAGATTTCTATCAATGAGCACACAGTGCCTAGGCCTCCGGTGGCTAGAAATATGTTGACCTCAGCCAATCAGTGCCTGTGGAATTTGTTGTGATTCGTTGTGATTGGATTCTGTGGTAATCAGGAGTATAAAGATTGTAGCACCCAATCGCAACGGGTAAAAATTGTAAAATCTATTACTTATCAACTAATATTGGTGAGCTTTCAAACACGATTGTGAATTGCGATTGGGTGTCGCAATTGCTACCATCGATCACAATGCAATGCTAGTCTGAATAGGGTATTACTTACTTGAAGAATTCGTCAAGGTATGTTTGACTACATTGTGACCACATAAACCGGCCGTTACTACCAGATAGTGTCGGAGACATGATGTGACCACTGGACTTTGTACAATCATTGCCATCCCCATCATGCACCATTCCAAAACTGAAAATAACAATGTTTCATCTATCAAATACTATATTTATCAAACACCTAATAAATATATACATCTTTAAGATTTAAAATTAAATGTATAATTCAAACAAGAAAGAAAGAACATAAAATTTGGGTTTTTTTTCAAGAGTTTATGACAAAATAACTAAATTACAAAAACAATAATTTTCAGATTCATATTATTCTTAATATTAATTATTTTCTTAGCAAGTATGTGGACTTGTTATTATGAAAGTGGTCAAATATACATAAACAAAAAGTGTTTAACATTAACAAACAACTAGTAGGGATCAATCTGATTGGTGAGAAGTTGGAAGCAACCTACCTATGTCCTGATTCATGTGCGACGGTGAATGCTAATCCTAGGCCAGTATCCTCATTGACAGTACAACTTCGATACTTACTGCACATGCCACCAATTGGGGCAAAACCTGTAAAACATAAATGAGTTATTAATTGTATTAAGAATGAATGAAATGTATCCACTGGTAATGTCAGTGATGGCTCCAGAAATTTGCAGGCAGGGGCTCCAATCCAAAGGTCAGGCTTCCGGAATGAAATCCCTGGTGGGGTTTATGGGGAGAGATTTTATGGGTTACCATGGCACAAAATTATGTATTTAGACCACTCTATTATGAATTGGCTATTATGAGATGAAATAACTTTTTGAATTGGCAAATCTGTGTTTTTAGTCCGACCTTGTAGAGTCGACAGCCGTGGATCCATGCTTGTCCAACAGGAATAATTTCCCCTCCTGACTTCCTTCTGGCGTCACCACTGGATCGTGTATGAATACTATAAATTTTCTGTTTATATTGAAATGTCTACTTTTGAGTTTCCATGCCCTTAAGTTATTGTCTGTTGATAGCAATTTCAAGTGACGTATTGATTTAGAGTTACGCATACTTATAACCGACTGTGAAGGGGAGAGCTAACCTAGCCTAGCCTGTGATTCACCCTTCCTCACTGCAGTGTTTTGCACAGTTTAGCAGAAAACCTGACCCAACGTACTGCCACTCCCCTGGGGCCTGGCCTTGATCTAAGGGCTACATGCAGACGCAACAAATCAACCAACGCTCATTTACATGGAGCTTTCAGTCTTATCTCTTACTTTGTTTACTGAAACCTAATTAATTTATTTAAAATTTGGCATGGAATGTCAAATTTTAATAGTAACTGTCAAAAAGTTATTAGTATTAACAATTTTTACAATCTGATAGAATTCTAGCATATCACTTTTGAGTATCATACCAAATTTATTTTAAATAATGAAACCCCTGCCAGTTTACAGTAGGCCTAAAATAAAAAGTCAATATTAAATATCAGTTATCATTACATTAGTATAGTTTCAAGTTAATTTTGCTACATTCATCCTCTCAAAAAAATATAATTAAATTAAATAATTTATAGTAACGTATGCCTATTATATCTCAAATGAAAAAAAAAGTTAGAAATATTAGAGTAGCCTTTAAAATAAAAAAAGTCAAACTTATATAATGCAATAATTATTATATTATATTTTTATATTCAAATTAGGTTTGCTATAGTTACCCTCACAAAATTATAATTATGTTGCATATCATATCTTTAACCTTACTTTTTTGATGGATGGCAGAAAGAATGAGTAGAAAAGATTAAAAAGATGAAGACAAGAATTTTTTGTTTGAAGACCCGAGGGTGTCATGTGTCGCCTGCCTATGATGGGATAAAAACAACAAATGCCGCAAAATATAAAAATTATATTATCCCTGTCATCTTTATGCAACCTGTGACTAATACAAGTTATATATATATTCCCAAAGGCTTTGCACATATTTATATTCAGACAGTGAAAATTCTAGTCCTACTTCTAGAGATGCGGTCAGCTTTCTGAAGCAATATTTTTCTCCACATTTTTAAATCAGTGTAGTTATTGGTTAGGATGTCCACTTTCTCAAAATATTCCATTGTTAATTGTCACAATATGGAATGGCCACCATAAGTTCTCCAACATCCCCCACTCCCCCTCCAGCCCAAGTAATCTGCTTTTTAAATATATTTGACTTATATATTCAACTTTTTTGTTTTATGAGTTAAAACTTATTAACAAGACTTTTAATTTTTTTTTAAAGTTTAAAGAATTTTCAATTTCATGCTCCAACAATCCTACTCCATCAACTGATAAGAAAAATGTTAGCTATTTTGTTTTTCTTGTATATTTTTCATGAATATAAACAAATAAAAAGTTCTATACATGATACCTGTTTGACCAACGGACAGAATTACCTGCTCCTAAGTGACCCCAACTAATAAACGCCCCAGTTGCACTGATCACAACTTTTCCTTAGTTTTTCCGCATGGATGCAAATCATAAAGGCACACACCAGACAGCTGCTAAGCCTGTCACTTGAAAATATCCTGTCTAATTTATTTATTTTATTTATTTAATCTTTCCTTCCACTGGATTGCATTTTCAGTAACACAGTTTTGGTTTTTATAAAGGGGCATAATTAGAACACCATTAAAGTCCGAAAGATTAACCAGAGCTAAACAAATAAACCTTTATACGGTAAATCTAGATCTACTAATGTCTTCTAATTTGTTAATACTTTTGGTAATTATTTAGGCCTGTAAATATGGATAAGTTGTTATTCCTGATAATGACCCAATAAAGAGTTGAAATATTAAATCCCATCACGATGGCATGTATGTCTTTTCTTAGAGTATGCATTACTGTATTCTTTCATATCTAAAACTAATCAGTGCACCCTCTGCTTCTACTAGAGCACATTGTTGTCATTCATATATTTATGTAATGCAGTATCATAAGTAGACTTAAAGTAGCATATGAATAACATCCCATGTGTTAAACCAGACAGAAAAGAAACTAAAAAAAATTATAAAAAATTTAAAAATACTCGGTCCAATCAGTGTAAGCCGGTGAGCTATTTATTTGTGCTTTGGGGGCTTCTGGATAAGTGGATAAATAATTACAGGATCGAGAATCCATAACAACTCCACACCAAACTATTTATCAGGATAACATACTCTGATCCAATGGGACATGTTAAATTAAGAACCATGAGGTTTGGAGACTGCATTTAGCAGTCTGTTTTATGAAAAACTGTTTACTGACCAATGGGAACGGCATTCTGTAGTCTGTTTTATAGAAAGAGTTCCCATTGGTCATTAAAAAGGTAACACTTTAAAGTCTAGATAGAAAATGTATTTATATGAGCTTTCATGTACTTTCACTTTTTCTATTGATCACTATAAGTACAAGATGAGTATATGGCTATCGGAATATATGGCTATGCACATTGGTCATCATGTTTTTTAAAAGTTCTCATAGGGTTAAGTCTTTGTATCCCATAAATGACTTTTAATTAATTTTACAATAACTATTTGTTGTCTTTTAAAGTGTGGGGTTACTGCTCACTGACTCGAAGAAATGACAGTAAGAGGCAATATATAAATAGGCTGACATAAATGTACAGTACTATTTAAAATGACACTGCAGATGAATATTCAGGAAGAGGGGCCTATCCAATCAAATTTTGTCTTTATGTGCCACAGCCTCAAATGTTTGTACCTCAACCCTAATGTGGTGGCTTTTGAACCTTCCATCTATAGAAGTCCCTCCTTGGGCCCCCTCTATTTCAAATATTCCTGATCTGCCACTGTGTTATATAAGTGATGCTAACTTTGATATTGGTTTACTCACATCTAAAAGCAGGTAGCATGTTTCATAAAAAATATTATTTTTATGACAACACTTTCCTAAGTTGCGGTTTACCAGAATTAATTCGGCAAAATTATAGTAACATGTAGTTAGTCTTGTTTTAAGAGTTATCAAATTTGAGTTTCAAGGTCTGGTCCTAATTCCTGGTGCCATGGCTGATTTCCTGCATATGTGCTTGATAAATTTATATCATTACACATAAACTATATATAGATAGTAATGTGCAAATTACAAGCAGTGTTGATAGGCATAAAATAAAGTAAATAAAATAGTCCATATATATACTAAAAACTACAAGGAGAAACTAAACATCAGTTAGTAGAAAATAATGGATAATTTGTTCAATCCCTCACACTAAAAAACCTCAAAGAAACTAACTCATAAAATTCATTTTTACATGTTTTAACTAGTGTATTATTATTTGTCTCCCAGAACTAAGTCGGCATACAGAAAAATACAACTAGATGTGTTCTCCTAGCAGGACCCCCTGCATCAGTGACAGCATATTTTTTTGTAAAAACAATGATAAAATGCGGTATTTATCACTGTACTTATTAAGCACCGTACTTCTGCATATATAGGTACTGTAACACAAGCCATCAACTCCAGTACATAAATAGATTGAAGTAGCATTGAATACACTGACAAAGAGTCTTTGATATCACCTGGAAACTGTCATCACCTGGACTTTCACTTTCAACTTAGGACTCTTCTAAGAACACCACAGAAATTCACCATATCAATTCACCATATCTCTTGGACATTAGCAAATTATTCACCTGTAAAACTTGTCCACACTCACCCGAACATTGCCTGTTACACCTGCATTAGTAAGTTCCCTCCTGGGACACTGCCAATTCTGACACCTGTTAAAACACTTAACTTTCACTTGTTCATGAACAGATAACCAGCCACCCTCATTAGATCCACTCACCTAAAGTGTCGCACGGTTCATTTTTCCAGGAACAGATATCCATTCCCGTCATCAGGATAGCGTGATCATGCTTGGAACCGTTGGGGGTTGTTAGAGTCGACTGCCACTGGCAAAAACTGTTTAGTGTGTTGTCAGCATGGTGAGTTAGTTGAAGTCCAGGCTATAGTGACAAGAACAAGAATCAATTCATATTAACAATGAAAGTGTATCCTTTAGTACGTGGGGATCGGATTCAACACTATCCACTATATAGCACAAGCTCAGTGGTCTAGTATTTCAGACACCAGGCTAGTTATCTGGAGGTCGTGGGTTCTATTACACCCGAATCACTTGCAAGATTTTTTCCCAAAGTATTTGGGAACGTACCGAGTATTCAGTATGCAAGCCAGGTAGGGTAAAAAATCACTCCAACATAAAAGTACTGAACGAACATGTTACCAACAGGAAAGAAAAAACACTTCCTTGATAGCTATAGTATTAAAAACTGCTAAACTTGGCAACTATTTTAAGGTTATGAGACCGCAATGGTAGGTCACTGTGTGCAGTCAACCATGTCAATTTGAGGATATCTCAATCAAACTATAGACAATAAAAGGTAAAAGAATAAGTTCATTTGATTTTAATAATATAGATCTTGGAACAAGTAAGTTTTGATTTGGGTCTACCATTGGCAAATTCTGAAATCTATTTTTAAAAATGTAGATGTATTAAAAAGAGAAAAGGCTGTGAAACTGACCTCTTCATCGTGGAGTATCACTAAACTGACGAGTATGAAGTTGACACTGCTTCCTATACTACTGTCATGGAATAACGTTTTCACCTGTAAAAAGAAAACAAAAGAACTTCTAAAATCAGCAATAAAGTTGATTGAATTGCATGGTGCATGCTACTATGCTGAGCATGCACTAGTATTTATATACAGTAGTGCATCATACCATGGTCTCATAAAAGTGTAAAGTACATGGAATAAATATAAACAAAAATGTAATTATTGTTGAATTTGAGCATATGCTCAAACATACAGTGGCTAAGATTTTCAAAGAAGAGAATATGTAAACATGGCTGTTCACCAGTAGCATATCTAGGGGTATACAAATGTTGAGGGGGTGGGGGATTTTTCCGTGCTTTAGCATATTTTTTTGCTACAACAACTTCAGGGAAGGGGGCGAGTGCAGCACAAGCTTTTCTGAGAAGATGTGTGGCTCCCCTTAGAACCCCCTGAACAATAATGCTATGAATGTACAAAATATTCAAAATGTTGGCAAAGGATATCCAATCCAAACAAAATGAAACACATGTTTGACATTGCAACAGCAAAATGGTTTCAATTAAGATTCATAAGGAAAAATAGTTTTATAATCTACTGTACCATGTTGAAAACTGTTAGAACATAAGTTGTGATATGTGCATCTCCATGACTCTCTACCATTTTAGGATCAACTACCACTAGGATTCCAACGTTCCTGGCGGTTACCATGTTTGCCGCAATTGACCGACGAGTTCTATTTGCCGATACCGGGTACTCATCAATAAAGTGTAATGGTTCCTCAACTCTAGTTGGCATGTCTGAAGACAACAAATCAAGAACAATTTTAAAAATCCAACTGATTTTTTCATTGATATACTGTAATCTATTGTATTATTATTCAGTTGGGCTACAGTAATAACCAGCTTGCACTTAAAATAAAATAATAGTGCAAAACAACAGAGCAACATTGCAATTTAGATGTTTGCAAATCACAAGATTGCCAATTAGTGTTATTAATTTTCAAAAATAAAATTTATTTAAAATTACCAAAACAAATAGAGACACTTGTGTTCAGACAAACATGAGTGAAAAAACATGTTTCTTTTAATTCTACAAGAGAATATTTTAGTTTCTAAAAAATTCTTATTTTATAGCAATGATTGTTTAAGAGCTAATCTGTGTACTTAAATAGCTAATCGTTCTGAGTTCTTCTTCCACCGCTATCGTTCTGAGTTCCACCACTCCCCCCCCCCCTGAGATACATCCACCACAAAAATCTCTAAAATGTGATGACTGAACTGAAGTGTGAACAAAATTATTGTCATAAATCATTCTTTAACAACATTATTGTACAGTACTTTCATATACTCTATCTTAAAATATACGAGTTAGTATTTAACTACCACTTATAACACAATTAAACCAGTGTACCTAAATAGAATCAACGCTTTTGTTAACACTTCAATTGTCAATCTTGCGTATCAAACAACGTAAGTAACTACCCCGTTCAACTAGTTTTAAACAAGATTTCATTTAGATAAGCTACTTATATGTGAACAAAAGACCAATTCAGAAAAACACAAATTCAAGTTCAACAATTTATATTCATTTATTTGCAATCTATGGCTGTATTGTGTCATTTGTTGTTTGATGTCACATAAAAGTTTGAGATAAGAAACAAGAGTTTGGAGGGTCAACCAAAAGGTTGATGTCTATAGAAACAGACCATATAACAAAATAAATTATACAGTACTGTAATTATAAATGTTAGTATAGCACTTATTAGATAGTTTTACAATTTTATACTTTGAGCCAGACAACTTAAAACTATGCATTGGCCGGCCGACCAATCCATCTTGGTGACTGCAGAGTGCCAGTTGCAGTTGAAACGGATCATCACATTAAAAACAATCTGTCATGCGTGCCTCATTGCATTCATTCATGGCTTAACTTAATACACTAGCAGAGAAGAATTAATATTTGGATGCCTAATAAGATGTATTGATTGACTTAATTACTCTAAGAATGAAATCACTGATTTAAGATACTTTATTGATTATACATGACCTTAAACTGTCAATGTCTGTGATGGGCTGCAAAAGGTACAAATTTTACCTAACTATATAATGACTATTATTGTCCACTGTGTATTGGAATTATCCCGCAGAAAAGACGCTGATAGACAGTAGCTAACAGAAAGATAATGGTAACAAAAGACTGAGATTTGCAGATGAACTTGGAACTAATCCATCATGTTTTATATAATGTTCATACAAACACAAATCCATTTGTAAGGGGTTGTCCGCATTCTGCTATTAATCTCTACTAATGGATGTAGATTTAAAAGTGTTCTTAGAAGATTATCACTATCAGTCTACATGTAATGTTCAGTATATATCTAATGTACAAATCTTTAGTTAGATCTTGAAGTTCTGTTATGTTTACTTTGATTTACTACTATGTTACAACTTTAAAAGCATTTGGTAGGTTCTACTCCCATAAATTTTATCGGAAAAAAATTTCACTTAAAGACAGAAAAAAATTATATTTGAGGGAATGAATTGAATTGTTGATTGATATTTTGATGTTTTGAACTTTCAGTTCCGTCATATAGAGTAAAACACCCTGTATTTTTCAGTTCCACACTGCAACAAAAAATGAGGTTATAAAAAATGATTCTGTTACATTTCAATTTACATTATCTTGGTTAAGATTACTATAATTATAATGTGTAAATAATAATGTTGGTTAAAATTCTGGAATTGAAATGAACAATCTGAACAATGTCAAACACCTAAAAGTATAGACAAAACACGTATATAGAGCACCGGCCAGGCGACATCATATAAAGTAGTGTCCACTACATAAAGCGCGAGGCCAATGTGAAAACACCAGCACTTTCAGCACTCACAGCCATTATTGGCATACCTCTTTAATTTATAATATAAGAACTACTATCAATTTCAGTAACTTCCAAAGTGTACAATAAGATCAGATGCTTTAGCTGAATCCACACTGGAGGAGGAACTTCCTCTCAAGGAGCTACCCTGGATCTTAAACCCTTAAAGTACTCATATCAAGTCATAGCTAAGGTGAAAAACTATTGTGTAACTAGACAAAGATAAACAAATAGTACATTGTTACAATTATATAATTGCTGTGTTCGGTTACCCGTTCTCTTTATGGGATTATAGATTGGGGGAAATCTATAATCTGGCTGCGGTACAGCTTTCAAGTATTACAACAAAGTGCAGTTGTGTTCTGTACACATAGGACACCCTGCCCGATTCCCTTAAGTACACTCAGAACCCTGCCTTTGGCCAGCAGAAACGGTTTCATAAACATATAGATATCAAGTGGCTTGGGGCTAGCCAATAGTGCACTCGTAGTTGCACAATGTAAACTACTTCACAACTGCTATTACCGTACTACTAGCTTAACTGAGATGACAACTATTATACTATATGTGGCAAAGGCAAGCCAAACCAGCCACTCATCGCAAATCGTGTTTAGAGATATTGGCCAAAACATGCTGAAATGTCAAAATTGTTGAAATCTATTTTACTGCACTGAACTAACATTTATATATCTATACATCATGATATACTGTTGTTTTCCCCATTTTCAATGTTAAAACAATAATTTTCAACAATTTGTTGATTGTTTTTTGCCTGTAAACGCCTGAAATAATTACCTTTGAAGGCTGATTTCTCAAATACCGTTCTTTAAACAGCTGTATGTTTAAACGCTCGTAACTAATAAGGAAATGTCAGATTTAAATGATTCTTTTACCATTTTATAACTCTCATTTTTATTTTTAACACTGTATTAATAACTCAAAATTGATTTTTGCGACGAGTGATTGGTTTGGCTTATCTTTGCCACATAATGTCCTTACTATGTTTTAATTCAACAAAAAGAATTCTAAATATATTAAATTATTTCCAGTTCTAGAATTATTCTCAACAGTTTAACAAATTATTTTTTAATATTCTATTTTCTACACAAGTTAGCATATGTTAGTATATTATTATTAATGTATAAAGTTTACTGGTATATCATATTTATTTTTGGCACTATCGTACAGATTAATTAATTCGTATAGTACAGGCTTAGCCTCTTAATCATTCAGGAAATTATATGAACCATGTAAGAGTTTCAGATCATAACTCAATCAAAATAATAAACATATATTCTCTGCAGTTGTTGGATAGTGTAAATCCCAATGAAAAGCTACAGCAATGTACAAGCAACATAAACATACACTATTTACAGTTGTCGTAAAGTATATGTGGGAAAAACTTGCTACATCCTATCATTTGTTGTATTGGCCTTTTATATTCTAATATTATTTAGATGTCTCAGTCTGTTCTACAGTGATTTAATTGTAACATGTGATCTTGTAATGGCTGACTTGCTTTGTACAAATAGATGATTAGGCCAAATAAAAAAAAAAACATGTTTTGCGTCCCCGCCCGCATCGTTTTTTTCGCCCGCCTTGATTTTTTTTTAATTTTTTATTTTTGGAAAATTCATGAAAATAAAGAAAAAATATATCGAAAATTTAGAATTAAATGTTGGAAAAATAAATACCCTAGCCTAAAATAGTGCAATATCTTCGTCTAACCTTTCGTATAGTAAAGCTATGCCTAGGCTAGCCCAATATCTCTACCTAGGCTAGCCCGATATCTCTAGGCTAGGCCTAGACCGTCGCCTACTCTGGGCGTCAGGCGGCAAACCTCGAGTTCGCTTCACTAGAGCGTGTTTGTCATGCATACAATTGCCGTATTCGATTGGGACTATACGTTGAGTATGTTATCCCGTTGAGTATAAAACTCAACGATAAATTTCGAGCGTTAACTTCGTTGAGCAGTTTCTGTTGAGCAGAGCACGAAAGTCCCAATAGAATACGGCCGATGATTTCCGATGAATTCTGAAATTTCCCGTTATACTGGCCCTCTATGTCAGATTGTATGGAATAGTTTCATGTGAAGACGTCTGAGACGTAACATCGGGAACATTCCGATTGTATACAGTAACAATGATTCCTAAATGCGACTGGTAAACCGAGGCTGTAGAATGGCGGCCATTTTGAAAAATAAAAAATAAAAAAGGCCTCTCCCTCAATTTAAAAAAAAAAGCCGGACGTGAAACATGTTTTTTTTTTACTTGGCCTTATGCTGCCCTGGTTTAAACCCTCTTTTTTATTGTGTTTGTTTGATGTAGTTCTTGTGTTCCATTATTCCTGAGTTGAAAGGTCTAATGGTTTCTTTGATTTCATACTTGCAATAATAATAATAATAATAATAATAACAATTTATTTGAACTTTTGTAACATTGACACAGCATCATACTTGCTACACACAGCCTCAAAATGATAGTTGCAAATTTATATGACTTTGCACATTTATTTTCTTTTTGAACATTTATTTTCTTTTCTTTTCTTCAATAACAATTCCAAAGAAAGAAAACAAATTTATATTTATAAAGGATCATGGAAATTGAAGTTGAGGTACTGGTTGGTATGAATGAAATTTGTTAGGTATTTCTGTAATTTTCAATTCATGCTAATCTTTCGTACAAATGATGTTTTACATAAAACCACTGAGCTGAATTATTGTGACTTTCTTTTTAGGTCTTCATGTATTTTTGTAATTTAAAGATTTTTTTAATGCTTAACACTGAATTTAAATCATCTGTTTTTAGAGTAACATACTCCATTCTTTTCTTCTTTCTTTCCTTTTTTCCCCATTTTTTTTGTTTTTTTTGGACCCACTCCTACTAATACTTTAAATATTGTCCTTATAGAAATTCAAACAGCAAATAAAAATGAGGAAAATTAGGTGAAATTGAAGCTTTCATTTTTGTATTGGGAAAGGTTTGATCATGATTAACTTCCTTTAGAAAAAAGTCTTTGTCTGGCTAATGGATATATCTATTCTGAGCATTAAAAGAGTTTGCATTGAATCACAACTGTCAAATTATTAAACAGAATATGTAATGCGACTATTGTATCCACCTTTGTGTATTCTAAGCCTGCTGTCATACAAGATATACACAATATCCGAATTGGGTTGTTGTGAAAGGATTCAGATAGTTAAACCTAAACCCAACCTTGAAAAAAATCAAAGAAATCAATGTATTTTGGTTTTGATCCATATAATTGTTCTGTTATGGGTTTTCATCAATTTCAAGAATTATCTTACATGTGAAAAACCTGGATGCCAAGGACATATTTATCCCAATTTTCTTTCCCAAAGAGGCACAAAAATAATCTATTGTACTGAAATTAAAATTCTTTAAAGAGCAGTTGTTCCATTTGATTAAATCCATTTAAACCTGCTAACCAATTTTAATATTGGTATATATATTTTTATATACTTATCCAAAGTAAATTGTCATTTGCCAGATATAAGTTTTATTATTTACATTTTCATCTAATTGGCACTTTCTATACATAATTAAATAGTTCTTACAAAGGCAACTAAAAAAAAATAAGAAAAACAGAGTGATTTATAGTATTTTCACATTTCACATAACTTGAATTTATAAGTTTGTTGTTATTATAAAACATTCAGAAAACAAATAATTTAGTGGAAGGCGGTTTGGCACAGTGGTTTTCATTCCGGTTATTGAACTTTGGAGGTCAGACAATCAAACAGCACTCTAACCATTCTTGCTGGCCATATAGATACCCCAGCTTGCGTTGTTGACAGGATGTGAAGTAGTTCACACTATGTTTCAACCTGCAAGCTTTTCGTGGTATATAAATATAATTAATAAAAAATTAACCTCTTACCTAGAAAGTGTCTCTTAGGCCTTGTTTGAGGTGCATGCAATATTTAAAAAACCCCAGGTTAACACTTTTATAAAACAAACCTATCACATTAAATTTTCTTATATACTTACATTTTTTTTTCCTTCCACAAAAATGATCCTTTTTGCTTTTAGCTTTACCTATCTTTGGTTCATGCTTATGGTGTCGTATGGCTGCGGACCTTTTATAGATAATGTGAGGAGAGTGGTCAGATCCCGCTGTAAAGTTTTGTGCCAGTGCTATATGTTCCGGTAGTGGTTGAATAAAGTAGTCCGTTTCAGTTGTACGTATTAAGCCAGTCTATAAAAGAAAGAAACTGCATTTATTTTCAGAGTAAATATTAAAATATCA